AAGGCGACATAAAAACTTTCATCAGACAATACGAAAAGGCAGCACAGATCAACAATTGGAACGACGACGAAAAAATTAAGTTTCTATCAATATTTTTGAAAGAAACTGCTAACAAATTTCTACAAAATTTGGAAAACAAAAGAGAAAACTGGTCATGGGAAAATCTAAAAAGCGAGTTCATAAATGAATTTCAACCCATAGGATACTCAATAATATTAAAAAACAAATTAGAAAATAGGAAACAGAACGACTTAGAGTCAATTTCTAGTTTTGTTACGGAAATAGAATACCTGTGTAGCCAAGTACAAAAAGATATGAAAGAGGAAGATATTTGCGTGTACATACTAAAAGGTATTAGGGAACCTATATTACATGCCATCTCACTGCATGATAATAGTACTTTGAAAAAATTGAAAGAAAATTTAAAAAAATATGAACTTATGCAATTTAGAATTAATTCAAGAAGTTCAGGACTCAGCGAATACACGGAAATCTTAAATAAACAAGTAATGCAACTAAATAATGAAACTAAAGACAGCAATCAAGAAATAAAACGATTAAATACAAAATTAGAAAGAATAGATAGTTATCATAAAAACAAAATCGACCAACTGTGTACCAAAATCGAACAACTATGTACAGAAATGCATAATTTTAAAAAATACGACAAGACAGTCAATTTTGAAAATAGATCACGCAAGCGAGACAAAAGTCCATATCCAGAAAGAACAGATCACGAAGGCAGGAACAATTATAGAGAAAAAAGTCCTTATCCCGATAGGTACAACAACTATAAGTTCAGAGAAACGAGTAGAGATAGATACAATAACAATAAATATAGAAATAACAGTAGAGAAATGAGCAATAATAGAGATAGGTCTGACTCAAGAAATAGGGAAAACTCCTACGACAGATCCAGAGATAAAAATAGTTATAACAACAGAAATAGTGGAAATGACACAAATTGGAAACAGTATAGTAGGGAAAACAGCAGAGAAAGATATTCAAGATCCACGACGCCGGAGAGATTTAACGGAAGAGAAAAAATAACATGCTACAAATGCAATGGTAAAGGACACTATGCTAACGATTGCAATTTTTCAAAAAACGAATAGCACCCGAGCTAAGAGAAAAATCGGAATATCTAACTCGGGGAACAAAATATAATACTAATACCAAAACCGACACCTCAAAATTTAACAAAGAGAAGCAGATTGAGAAAAATAATTATATACATTTTGTAGAAAATTGGTACAAATCAACAAATTCAAATAAATTAATAACTAATGAAATAAACGACGATGACGAAAAATCTATAGAAAACATCGTAACAATAAGTAATTTGAACCCATTAAATGAATTCCAAAAATTCCTACTCAGCAACAACGATAGAACCGACTTCCTATGCGATTACAGTGAACAGACGGTAAATATTTTTTCATTACCAAATGATATCGCAATCGGCCATTGCACAAGCCAATGCCTCACCATGTCGAAGGGGATCGCATTACAATTTAGAAATAAATTTAACAACGTTCAAAATTTAATAGACCAAGAAAAAAAACCGACCGAAATTGCTTATTTGAAAAACGGAAGACAATGGATTCTATACCTCATAACAAAAAATAAATATTACGACAAACCAGCATACACTAACATTTTTAGCACATTAACTAATACTAGGCAATTTTGTATAGCAAATAATATTACTACCTTAGCACTACCCAAAATTTGCACTGGACAAGACAAAAAGGATTGGAACGTTATTTCTACCATGATTAAGTTTATTTTTCAAAACACGCAAATAAAAATACTAATATGCCTACTGCCGAGCAACGACAATGAAAATAAATATTATAAAAACAATGATTCCCAAACTACTAATATTACGATAGGTAAAAATTTTAATAACACGATCAGTGATAGTTTAAAGAACGAAATCGCACTAATAGCTGGCTCATTCATAAAAACTAAAGACGTACCCGGAGACGGTGATTGTGGTGCCCACGCACTACGAATATGCTTGAAACAACATGGTATATATAGAAAGACGGTAGAATTATTAAATATGCTCGGCATTCCTAATTGCAAATCTGGCTACTATTTTAAAAATGACGATCTAGCATTTATTTGTGACCAATTTAATTTAAATTTATATTTAATACACGAAGATTCCGAACATACAAATGCCATAATATACTGGAAATCAAATAGGAAAAGTATAGGGATATTCAAAAAAGATTATAATTGGACACCAGGAATTATCACAAAAATATATAAACCACTTCAATTCAATAAAATAATAATAAACACAGTTTTTCCCGACTTTAATACTGTAGAAAAAAATGTAGACCATTTCTTATACGAATGTTTCGATCGCTTAAAATTATCACAACAAAACACAATAGAAAAAAATAAAACCGGCAACAATTTTAAAACTGACAAATCAACAATATGGTACTCACAATTTTGCCAAGACTGCGAATATTTGTCCACAACCAAGGATGTACTAGACGACCACGATGACAAAGAAGAGTATTGGAGTGAGGGGGGAAACGTAATGTTTTGGGAAATATGCGGAAACTACATAAGAGAATATCGGAATCGGCCCATACAAGAAGACGAGAAAGCCATAGAAACCAAAAACCAGCTAATTCAAAACAAAAACGAAATTAAAATCAAAAATCAAAATACAAGCGTAGATTCAGACACAGACCGGAAACAAAGAGTGCTATCCATACAAATAAAACTAGACGGCAACGAACAAAATGCAATAATAGACACAGGCTCAAATCTATCATGTATAGATTATTCCCTAGTAAAAAATAAACAAGAAATTAAACCCGAGAACAAACACCAACAACGAAGACATAAGAAAGTTACCGAAAACATTGATAAAAATCCAGGAGGGCTTCGAGAATCTTATAAATGTTATCAAGTCCATTGAATAATTTTTCTAAATATTACCTTAAACAAAATTAATGTAATTGTAAAAATTAAAATTTATCAAAACAATATAATAATACTAATAAGTAATAATGTAAAAAAAAGAACAATTAATCAAATTATAGTAAAACAAGAAATTATGTAACATTATGAAATTCGTATATTCATAGATATTTATTTTTATTTTTATTTAAGTAATAAAAATAATAAGTAAATTAAGTATATGTAACATATAGGTTAAATTAATTTTATAAAAAAAAAAGGGTGTAAAAATATATATAAATAAAAAACAAAAAAATAGAATGTATTTTCAGCATAAACAAAATTCACGAGTCAACAGACAACAAGCCGCAACAATCTTCTGAGACAAAGTGCGAATATAATATTTTCAAAGTAGACAATAAGCATTAAACCAATAATTATAAAAACAATAAGCAAATACCTTTTCATACGAAGACACGAGGAAGATACTGCAGTCAAAACAGAAGTTTGAAAAAATAATATAAGAGAATATAATATATAAATAAAAAAAAATATATATATACAGATTATAAGAAGAAAAACAAAAACAAGCAAGATAATAAATACTTACCTTATGAAATACAAAAAGAGAAGAAGAATTAACTACCACAGAATCGAAGAATAAAATGCCGTAGAAGAACAACAATCATTTACTGCTATTTGTCGAAATAAAAATATTATACTTCAAACTGAGAAAAATCTCTAAGAAAACATTTTCCACAAGGAGCCAATCGATAAATTATTATAACCTTATATATATTCACATAAATTTTTGTATCTATATTCTGAGTATGTATTTCATACATTATAATACAGTATAAAATATAACTCAATTTATATTTATATTATAAAAAAAATATTAATCATTAATATGTGTTTATGAATTATATGTTTCTAATTGTTTCTAGATCCTCACATAATATTGCCACAGGTAGAGATTTTTTTTGTATTTATATTCCGAGTTAATTTTATACAGTATAAAATAATTACGGCGGTTGAAATATCGATTTATCTGTTTTAAATTTAAATTATTGTAATTAGTGTTAATTATTTTGTATGTTTAATTCGTGAATTGTGGCTATTGTCATTTGTCATTCTTTTTGGAATATTACTATATACGTTGGAATAATTGTATAAGATTACTTCGTTAGAATAGTCTACTATCTGGGTTTCTAGCATCAAATATTTTTCGCTGCCTAGGCAGTCTGTAGGATTTATTTTATACTGTGTTAGTATATCATTGCTTGTTTAAAACACGCATTAAAAAATAAATTAGTAAATTAAAATTAACATTTAAGCATAATTTTATAGTCAACGACGCGAATAAGCCGAGACAGAAATATAGTGTAAAAGTAGATTAGTATTTAATGTAGTAATAAGACAATTGTATGTAAAAAAATTATTAAAAAATGAGGGCATTTTTTCCAAAAAACAAAGGGGACTGTCGTATATTGTAGACAGTCGTCTAAATATTATTTCATATATGTAATAGAGGTGGGAACTTTTTATTGTAAACCATTGACATAGGTCAGTGAAGCATATGTGCTGAGACAGCTATAAGATTACTATATAACACCGCCGCACGCGCAGGCACGGGAGAGTCACGTTGTCGCTGAGTGAATCGGCGAGGACGTAGGTACTGTGGTCGTACGTGTGAAACGTCGATCGTAGTACGGGCTAGGCAATCCGGATTTGCTAAGTTTTTAATTTATGTTTGTTTTAATATAATAAAAGTGTTTCCGACCTAAAAACCTAAAAACTTGAGTTTTATTTCAAAGTCTTCTTCGTTCTTACCTTTAATATTGGAACAGTGCTCAGACCCACACACCTATAGTCAATGAGGTTAATTACAAACTGAACAGTGCTCTGGTTGTGGCGTCCTAATAGTCATTCCAATTTAGGAAACGAACGAAGAACTGACAAAACGTTACCATCGTGCCTCAAAGGTTAACAGTGCTAATCTGAATTTATTCTAGAGACAGTCATTAGCCTAGAGCGTACGAGGGTAAGGTATAAAGTTGGTTTACCGCGTATTATCCAATACGGGTGATACCACAGCATAAATGTTTCTTACCACTACTGGAACCGTCTGTACTCTCTGATGATGCATGAAAATCTTTATCGGCATCTGAATCATCAAATTCACTAAAACTACTCAGGTCACTATCATCAAAGTCACGAGGAAGTTCCTTTCCGATTTCACGATCATTAATTCGTTGACTTTTCGGCATATTTGACGATTCCATTTTCAATTTTATTAAAAATATAAGCACTAAAAATTGACTATTTACGTAGTAGAAATGATGTCCTCTACGTTCAACTGTACACTGAAGAGTAATAATTTTCGTATTCAATAAAATTATAATTATAAATACTATGATAATAAATCTAAATATAATTATACATAAACAATTGTATGTTAGCCGGCGTGCGTATGGCGTACAAGTAATAAAAATCATTTCTTACCGACATATCCCCGGCGCGGCGGGGAACGTTGTAAGCGCTAGTGACTGCAGCCTTGCAGGAGTGGGGACCGACGATACGAGGCCCACTTTCATGTTGATAGACAACCGTGCGTCCGTCGTGAACCGCTATCCGGTTGCGTTCCGGTTGCTTCAAATACTTATCGGTACAAAAATGAAGGTGTACTCGCCGCGCCGCTACGTACGCTCTGTGTTATCATTGCCATATTATGTTACTTACAGTAGCGGATTTAAGGGGAAAGACCCTATAGGTTTTTAATTTTTTGGACTCGCTGGATTAGCATAATATATGAATTTATGAGCGAAAAAAAAATAGTTCTTACTTAAAAATAAATATTATGCGTGACCCTTTTATGAGTTTAATTTTTTACATAATACTATATAACTAAACACAAAATACAATGTTCATATTTTTATTTTTATTTGTAAATTAAAAGAAAATATGGAGTTTCTGTGTACCTACCCGTTTTAATATTAAAAAACTAATTTAGGTACAAATAAAACGTTAAGACACTTCTGTTTTCTTGAACCTTGACTTTATGATTTCTTTTCAGAAAATAAATTAATCGATGTTCTAAATGTATTGTTATATTTTATAAATACAATGATATTTTCAAATGTAATTATTTTGGGGAAAATGAATTTAACCTACTGTAGTGGATATTAGAATACTAAAATTAGTTACTTTGATCACAAAATATCATAAAATATGCTTACCTACAATAATATTGTAGGCTGACATCCGTCTTTGCTCAGAATCGTTTTTCGTATACAATGATATTATATCATTGAATTCAAATTTAATAACATCTTGTGACCCACTTGTAACCTACTGTATGATTTTACAGCAACGCATAAGACAGTGCCTTTAAATAGACCTTCTAGTAAATTATCCAATAAGAGATCGCCAAGGTTCCTAGTAGAAAATATAATTCCAGGTTAGACTACAACAAAATTAAAAAAAAAATATTGTTAAAATTGTTAAAATTGTAATTTTAAATTGTCTGGAATACAGAAGAAAGTGTAAATAAGGACAACACATTATATCCTGCAGATACAGTTACTGAAAAAGGGCAGTTCCAATTTAAAGAAACCTTCTTAGCTACAGGTAGGTACATGATATGTTGACACAATTAAAAAATGTTGGATTTTTGTTTAGATGTTCAATTGTTCATAGTTTCATACTTAAAATTAAATAAAATTATAATATACTTGTATCGTCTTAACAACATAAAACCACGTAAATTGTCCACGAAAAATATTTTTAAACTATAACTAAATAGGTAATTAAAATCGTTATTCTATTGTTTAATATGTAATTTTGTCCAAATTTGAATTGTGCAAATGTATTTTTAATATTTTCAAACAGTATTGTATTAATATATCAGGAGCATTGTATTAAACAATTGAAATTTGAAAGTGTCCGTTAACAGCTCAAAATATTTTAATTTTATGGTGTTTAGAAAATGAGAATCCAGTGAAATTTTTGTATCGTTGTACAATTTAGATAATTCTTTCAGTTTTTCAGCATCTTTAGCTAACTGATTAAAATTTTTGAAATATTTATTAGTATCAATTTGTTCGGGAACATGACTGTTAATTATTTCCGGTATTTTCAATAATGCGTGCAGCTTCGGATTTTCTGGAACGAAATCTTTATGAATTTCGGATTATAGGGTTCTCGATGGTGTTAAGATCAGATTTTCTGTATATATAACGCAATTATCGGAAATTCGAATTTTTCCTGTACCCGAGAGTAGGATTCTGCTAGAGTTTTGTGCGCATGTTACTGTCACTGCCTGCGAAATGCAATAATATAACCACGCGTTTTGCAGATAAAGCTTATGCCAGATTGTAATATTGAAGATCATATATTTGAAATTACACGCTCCTATCGTTTGATACGGGGAATTGTACAAAGATACCTCACAATTTTCCTAATGTATAAATTTACTGATAGCCTCAGGATTTACACATAACTTAAAAGAGAACAATGTTTCACATTTTTCATACTGATCGTCGGTTAGACTGAAATGATATTCGTTAGTATCGCTTATTGCCAAGTATTGAGCTTGTGGTTCAATGATTACTATATTACCTTTATTTGTAGGTATCGGAAGTGGAATATTATGAAACAGATTAAACCGAAGATTGGACAATAAGGGTATACGGGTCACAAATACGAGATTCTGTTGGATGTACACTACGCTTAACTTGGATGTTCGGAATAATTCAGGAATGGATAAATGAGATTCAGTTATAGGTAGCTCTAGTGTAGACGGTAATGTCAGTTGTATTTGCTTAAGTTCGTGAATCAATTGAGATGGGGGGTAGACATTTGTATGCATCAATCCATTTAATGCTGAGTTAAAAATGGATTGGAGGTTTTGAGTTTTGTTGATTTGACATACAGGACATTTCTTTATATATTTCCGGATTTGTGTTCTCATGCCCTGCCATTGGTACTGCTGTGCAATTTTATTGTACGTACGTGTTATACTTTGATGTCCCCCAAGTGGATTTTCATGAAATTCTTTGATGATCTGTAGTTTGTTATCTGCCGTTAACTCATCGCGGGTGTATATCTGAACATACACAGGAGAGTCACGGAAGATAAACCTTAATATATTTCGTACGACTTCCCACTTCAGTCCATCTAGTTCGCAGCCTAGACGTGGACAAGCGAGCTGTGTAAATACTTGGCACAGATTGATTTGAGGTTCTGAAGACTTTGAAATAGAATTTCATAACTTGCTTTTTGCCAGAAAAATTCTTTTGTGAGTATATAAAACACCTGATGATTGTTCACATTGATTGTTGCAATCTCTGTTATTTGACATTTTTGTCGACGAAGTTCATTAACTTTTCCAAATCGGTTACGGAATTCGAATGCGATACCTTTTCTCGGTTTGAAATCTGCTGATACACAATGAGCTAATGAGATTCCAGCATCTAAAGAAAATAGTTATCCTGTTCGCTCGGCAATGTTCTTCGTAGGACCCAGTTTAGTTTCGTCTACTTTCAGGAATGCTTGATAACCAATATCACCTTCGCCCTTCGATTCTGAGTCCGGATGTTCGTTATCTACTGATTGTAAAGAGGTTCCTTGAGTTTCTGGAGGTTCTGACTGATTATGATGACTGACATAAATCGCTCCATCTATAAGGAACGTCCTTTTTTAACAATGAGGTCAGTGGCTTTGCGATCTGCCCATAGTTTCTGATGAACCTGATAGTCCTAAAAAAGACTTGACCTCTTTCACATTTCTTGGAATTGGAAATTGTTTCACACAACTTATCTTCTGAGGATCTGGCTTGACTCCTTCGTCAGTGATTTGATGTCCAAGATAGTTAACTTCTTTTCAGAGAAATTCACACTTCAATGGTTGAAGTTTGAGATTGTATTGCCGGAGTCTCTGAAAAATCTCGGTGATTTTCTGCGAATGATCATTTAGATCCTTTGCATAGATGATGATAGCATCTAGATATACGAATGCTTTGATTCCATTTATACCAATTAACACTTAATTCATGAGAATCTGGAAGGTCCATGGAGCTCCCTTCATACCAAATGGTATTTGTTCGAATTCGAAATGTCCACGGTCTGTAGAAAACGCCGTTTTGCTACGGTCGGAGGGATTCATCGGAATTTGGTGGTACCCATGGGCTAGGTCCAAGGTACTGTAATTTTTTGACCTTCCTAATTGGTCCAAAATATCCACGATATTTGGAAGTGGGAAAGCATCCCCTATCGTGACCTCATTCAGTCGGCGAAAATCCACGCAGACACGGTATTTAACCTGGCCATTGACGTCGGGTTTCTTCGGGACTACTAGGAGTGGAGCGTTCCAAGGTGATTCACTAGCTGTAATCACACCTTCCCGTTCGAGGGCCTCCATTTGGTCCGTAATTTTCTGTCGATGCCTTTGTGGTAAACCGTAGGGTTTTACGTGAATTGGCGATACCGCTTCTGAGGTTTTGATCCTGTGTGTGACCGCTGTAGTTGCTGACACTCGATCTCCTTCTAAAAAGAATATGTCCGAGTAGTCTTGACAGATGACCACTAATGATTCCCTTTCTTCAGAATTCAGATGATCGGTTCTAAGTGCTTCTTCCAATCTTTTCAGTCGACTACTGCTTGCATGAGGTTCTTCTTGTAGATCCGTGAGTTGTACCGAATGTATCAGAGCTTCCCTGAACTGCTCGTGGATCAGTTCCTTTAAATTGGGCGTTCTTAGCCTTATTGCTTCTTTGGTTGGGTTGATGAGTGTGGCTAACACCCTTTTGTTTTGTACTTTGGTTACAGAGTTACTGCACATGACTGATTTCGTGACTTCTTGACATTCGATGAGGATGATTTCATTTTCTGCGCGATTCTCTGCTTCTATTCCTACAAGGGTTTCAGTGCGGGGTTGTAGCACTATTTCAGCCCCGTCAGGAATGATAACTTCATTAGTCTGATAATTCAGAATAATTTTGTTTTCTACCATAAATGGTAGTTCAAGGATACCATCGTTTGGGATTGGGAATGTAGAATGGATTAGTTGGAACTTTGCAACTATAATTTTATCCTCGATACATAGTTCCAGTTGTGTTTGTCCCAGCGTGTGTACATCTGGTCATTAATGCCCTTCAGGTGATATATGACGTCTTCATACACGATTTTCTGATCAGCGAGTGACGATATTTTTATTAGATTGAGCTCACTCCCAGAGTCTAAGATTAGCTTCGATTTTTTGCTGATGGTCTGTTCAATGTGGCAGG